TAATTAATAGTATATTAATTCAAATTAAAATAATATATTGATGTAATGTGTACTGTACTGTCACTTTAATGCTGAAGCTGGTCAAGGTGTAGCTAATTTGTATGTATAAAGCAGAAAACGGAAATCTTTTGATTTCCTGTAATCTCTCTACTGAAAAAACATCTATGATTTATAAAACTTATAAAACCGTTTTAAGGGTAACAAAATCAATTCAAGTTATATTTAACTGAGTGAAAAACATTTATACACATTCTTGGTGAATTTTCATTCATTTTGTTTTGCATGTACTGCTGATATTGTTTTATATCTTCACAATTCTCCCATCATTTGCCTGTGTTTGTAGTCGCTTTAACATTTCTAAGTTATTTTTATATGTCTTCATAGGATCATTACAGTTCAATCTACTGTAGAATTTTGTTTTTGTAGAATGTGATAGTAATCGTTAAGGAAAAAGGTCATAAAAGGCTGTGGATTTTTATATTGTATATTCTACCCTCACTGTAAAAAAAAAAAAAAAAATGTAATTGAGTCAGAGTTGTTTTACTCGTATAAAATGTTTCAACATCAAAAGCTATTTCAGCTATGCATACAAACATGGCTGTTTCATGTTAGGTATGTATCATTCTTGTGTCTGCATAATCACTTAAAAATTTGGCTATGAAACTTAAATGCAGCACTGGAGAAACAATATTGTACTGCACACAGTCCTGCATGTAACACTACTTATGCTGACAGTTTATATAAACACTAGACAGAATAGAATTGAGGAAAACAGTGAAAAGAAACGGCAAGAAAACCTTTCAATTAACATACTGAACTTTACTCCACATTTTAAAACATGAGAACCAAACAACACTGGAAAATGCAAATATTCACATAACCTAGAAAACAAATGACACTTATCCTACTTATCCTACATTTATTGACCTTAGAGTACAAATTACGCATAACGAGCTCTCCTGTTGCAAGTTAACTGAACACAGGTGTGAGCTGTAGTTGAAGTTGCATCTGACTGGTTGCTTACCTGGTGTATGCCCAATACTAAAACCCATGATTCAGTTATTCTGCTTTATAGTAAAGTGTTCTCCATGTGCTCTGGATGTGCTTCTCCACAATGGCAGATACAGTTAAAAGGGGACACCAATTATGTCATACTGTAGCAGTCATATTAGTCCTGTGCTCTTTGGTGGTGAGTTTAACTTGTTTTAGCTTGCGAGGCCTGAGCAGAAAGCAGGACAAGGTAGTTATTGAGGCCGCGGTGATGGAAGTAAGGAGGGGAAGCATTCTCTTCAATGGGAAAGAGTTTGACTCCCAGTCAGGGTCTTTCTCTGCTGCTGCCACAGAAAATGATGGATTGCTGCACACACTGACTTGGATCAACGATGGCACAGGTACAATTTAGCTGTCTAGTAATCAGTTAATTTGACTTACTGCATGTAAGTATAGCAGGATACGCAGGATCTGAACTTCTTTACTCCTAAAGGGATATTGGAGCAGATGTCACAGTTGGAGGATGCCATGGCCAATGAAGCAGCATGGAGGCGCTTGAATCCTTCCCTTTACTGTGGTCAAAACAAGATGAAGTTGAGAGCCATGGGACCCAGAGCCGCTGACTTACAGCTTGACATGGGTAACACAACTATTACAGCTTGTATGTCAATTTATATTAAAGCTGTGAGTACATGACCGGTTGCCATAAAATAATCTTTACCACCCCCTCAGGCAATGCACGTCCTCTGCATTTGCTCCAGGTGCCTGAAACCTGTGGCTACTCAATGAAGCAAAATGCACTAGGCCTCATTTTGGTTGTTCCCTACGATGGCTGCAATGTGATACAAGAGGTATACCTTTATTCCAAATTGGGTCAAGATGGTTTTATGGTAGCATTCTAATGTTGAAGCCAACTCTTCTATAAATGTTGACCTTGAATTAAATGCATGATCACATTCTTGTTTCAGAATGGCAATTACGTGTTGTCAATGAGTTGGCTTGAGACTCCTGTAAAATTCAATTGCCCCATGTTGACAAGTTCTGCTGTAACACCTGCTTCGACTATCCCCAAGGCTGTACAGCAGCCCTGGAAACTTGCTTTCCTTCATGGGGCCCGTCATAAGCGCCAGACAAACCAGCCCCTGCCCAACCCCTATAATGTCTATTGGCAGTGGTACAACTACTACATGTATATGATGGCACAAGCCCCTTCTGCTGCTACAACTACTGCTAAGCCTGACACGACCACCATGACTACCAAGCCATCTACAGAGAACCCCCCTCAAATTAATCCTCCAGCCTCTCCTCCCAATTTTTATTACCCTTACTGTTTTCCTCAATACCCCTACTACGCTCTACCACCCTATCCAAATGTGCCAGTGAGGACTACTACACCACCGGCCACTACAACTGCCAAAACTACTGGACCTCTCACTACTGAGATGACCACAACAGCCCCCTCATCATCCACCATGACTACTCAAAAAATACCAAACCCCTATTACCCACTATATATTCCTTATCCCTACTACCCTCCAGCAGGACAACCGATGCCAGGACTCCCTGAAAATTCCCAAGTTTACTACTACCCACTTATCCAACATTGCTATGGAGCATACCCACAAATGCAAACTACACAGCTTCCAACTGTCACAACTGCTAAGCAGGGTAACCCAACTCCCACCACTAAACCGACGACAAAGCCAACAACTGCCTCTGCTACCACAGCTCCAACAACTGCCTCTGCTACCACAGCTCCAACAACTTCATGTACAAAAAAACCCAGCTGTGGCAAGTATCCAGGCCCACTGAGTCCATATGTACCTTACTACCAGCTTCCCTTCACTCCATATGTTTCATACCAGGCCAAGGCTGGCAAACTCCCATATGACCAGAAATACATGCCTCCAGCTGACTACAAATCTGATCTCCAGGCTCGAGCTCACCCACCCCCACATCCAGGCTTCAACTACTGGCAACCTGTGCCCTGGCTTCACCATTCAACAGGCAAAGACAATTTTCAGTTTGACTGAAAAAATCTCTACCCTAAACATTTCTAACTCAGATGGTAAGACTCACTTGTGATTGTCTTGGTATGACTTTAAGTGTTTTTCTATCATTAACATAGTTTTTCTTCCTTTCAGGGGCTAGTGTCCTATGATGCTTGGAAAAATTAAACTTCAATAAAGTGGTTTAACTGTTTAATTCATGCTTGATTTATTATGCAAATTTTAATTCCCTTGAGGTCTATGGTGCTTAATACTTTTGCCATGGCTCAGGGCCTTAATCTCCACCTGTACATTGTAAGCTTTATAACTGAGTTTTTATGCCAAGGCTGCTTTTTTTTTTTTTTGTATTTTTTGAAAACTTCTGCAATGCCAATTAATGCTACGCTTAACAGAAGGGATCATGAGCAATGGGTTACATGGTATTTGCTCAATGTAACTAGTCTTTCAATGTAAAAGTGCACAAATGTAAAATTGCACAATGCCTTTTGAGCAGTAAATGCTATGACGTTAGGGAAAGAAGTGCAGCACGCCTAAAGTAGATTGTGCCCCTCAAATGGTTTGGATCCCTTCTGTCTGTTCAGAGTGTAGGGAGGGGGGTCCTTATGAAGCCCCTTGAGGAATAACTTGTCATTTTGGGATATAAACTTGACTCAACTGAATCTGACTAAGACCTGGTTGTTTGCCAACCAGTTTAAAATGCACAATCCTAATTCCACATGCCTGATGTTCTGCTGGTTATCTCATTCTGTGCCAACTTTTTCAGAATTTTTAATGTCTTGACGGAAATGAGAAATGATCTCACCCAGCTACTTTTCATATACCCAATGCTTATTTCTCAATGCTCCAGTGAAACTACCACAGTAAGACTGGTTGTACCTGACAGCCTGGAGATCTGAGTATCTTTGAGTGTTGCAGACCTCTTTCTTGCACCTCTTTTGGAATAAATTGAGGTTGGATTTTAAAAAATGGCTAGGTTTTTCAAATTATTTTTTATTTATTTTTTCCTGGAGAAGACCCCTATACATTCATACAGCACTCACGCACACACCCTCATTCTGTCTGTTCCTATATACTTCCACATGGTGCTCTCTCATATGGGCACACCGTGACGACACACTAATCTACACACATCACTGAAACTAAGCCACACATGACTGCAGAGAGATGTGTAATGCTGGTCTTTGAAAGCAAGGAAGCGTGTCTTTTCTTTTTTCCTTTTCATTTACTATAGTTCTTGTGTTAGCTGCCTGTAATTATATAGCACTGAGCTCAGGAATAACAACTATTCTGCTGTAAAGCATGGGAGAAGCAGTTGTCCTTTTTGTGCAGCAATGCATGTATGTCTGTTTTGTTATAATTACTGCTTTTGAATTTTTTATTTGAATCATCTTAAGGAGTGGTTTGTCTTCTACAATGAAGGTGAGTCTTACGTGCAGAATGTGTTATAATTTGACTTTTTATTTTAACCAGTGATGAGAGTTTAGGGTGGAAGACAATGCTATGCAGTTGTGGTTCAGTAAGTTTAGCAGAATTTAGTCTTGTCACTTGTTTTATAGACTAAATGAAAAAGAATATAATCAGAGACCGAAATATCATAAAATAAGAACACAGCACCTACATGAGAAATATTATGACAAATATTATATGTATCTATTTTATCTGTATGATCATAGGAAACACAGACTTGAGCATTCAAGCAGTTGATTTCAGAGTGTGTCCCACCTCTGACTATCTTTATGTAAATCTGTGGCCATATTCCCTGCTAGGGCATTTGGTCCCTCCTTCGACCCTGACATTTGCTCCACCCACTCCACACAGTTTGTCTTTATGGAGGACTATGATGTGGACATGGATGAGGAAGAGGAGGGAGAGGTATTCTTGAGAAAAGCCACAACAGGCCCTTGGTGGGAGGACTGTGGAGATGATGGCAACTGTGACATACAACACCAGAGAGGAGGAAGAGGCTGCATGGTAAACAGCCGCAGTTGGGCCGAGGAGCTCCAGGATATCTTTGCACCACAGGCAGAAGACTGTAACAGTGGAGGGCGAACCAGACTGTCCAACATCTCTGTGAGTGATTGTCTTTCTCTCCTTCTGTCTGGGCCGCACAAGTACTGAATTACTCCTCCCAGTCCATTTGTTCTGACAAATTCCACTGAATCTTTTAGCCACAAGAAAAGAGAGGGATACAGAGAGATTCTGCACAAATCCAGTTTTCCACAAATAACTTCTCAGAATAATAGAAAAACACAAACAATCTCGAGTCAAAAATTAGGTTAAAAGCTGATGATACAAAACAATATGTACATAACAATCTAAAGGCTAGGCTGATTCAGTGTAGATACAGTATATGATTATAATGGTGTACATTGCCCTTAGACAAATGCCAAAAGACTAAAAGGCTGAGGATATTCTGCCTCTGATGCTGATGAAGGATGAAAGATGACTCAAAAATGTTACGTTGTTTAATCAGCCCACTGCTGCATTGTGACACAGCACTGTGGGAAGTAACTGTGGGAGAGTGTGTGTGTATTTGGCTTTCTCTTTGCACGTGTGGGCACGTACACCCTGTGCTTTCTCGTCTCTTTTACAGCTCATCACACTTGATTCTGTGATGTGGAATAGGGTTGGAGGAAATTCCTCTAGGAGACAAAACAAACGTGAGAACGTGCAATTAAAAATGAACTTCTCTGCTTTGGGCCAATAAGCATATGCAGACGCCATGTTAGCAGTGGCACACGTCAAAGGGTGGCTTTCCATGAAGGCTGCAATGTTGAACTGCCATGTTTCTACAGTAGCCCAGAACAGGCAAACCAAACGCTATCTCTAGATAAGGCTGTTTCTTCACCTGTTTCGTGGCCACCATAGTTTCTCCTTTGGACTTCGAAGGAGAGGGTGAAGCAAGGGAGTTGCAATTTGCAACTACACCACTAGATTTCACTAAATCCTACTGAGAATGGGCTGTAAAGTGTGTAGGAGAAACTATGGTGGCTGCAACACTAGCGAATAATGAAAGGTCTTGTGTTTTATCTGTCCATTCTGGGCTACTGTAGAAACATGGCAGTTCAACATGGAAGGTGACCAGCGGCATCTGTAGCAAAATCATTATACACTAATAAAAACATACCTATAAATATTATATTCCATTTCTGCCAATATATCCCCCTAAATGTTACACACTGGACCTTTTAATGTGAAAGAAAATAACAAATGCATAGCCAACCAGCCACTTTTGTACGTGTGTCACTGCGTCACATTCTGACCCCTCCCCCAGCTGTTAGTTTTGGTGTGCCACCACAAGATTTCCAGTGGCCCCATCTGGCTATTCCTATGAGACATTTCTAGAGGCACCACTGCATGTCAACGTTGCCCAAAAATGCTGATATTTATTAAAGGAGCTATTGATTGGTCCAAGCCTCTTTAATGCTTTTGTTGTCCATGGTTGCATTCTCATTTATCAGAGTGTTTAGCATGGCCTTTTCAGCCCACCGTATCTCTCACCTTGCAGTGCAACCAATCATATACCCTTATTTTTACATATCTATATGGTCTCTTATCAGGACACAGATTTCTAGCAGCTGCTATTTGTTCTTTTCCTTTGATGAAGAGGAAAGAAAGCAAGTGAGGAAGATGGAGGAACAGATAACAGATCAGGAGAGCAGTGGCAGCACTGAGCAGCTCTGTCTCTCCCCTCCCTCCTCCATTTCTCTCTCCTCCTCCGCTTCCGTCTCTTACCACTATTTCCTTTCCTGCTCCCTTATTCCCCCCTCCCGTCTCTGCTGCCTCCCCCTCCTCCCCTCACTGCTCTCTCGTCCCTCCCTCACTCTCCTGCACGGAGCTGCAGTATATGAGAGAGTCTCCTGGGTCTAGCTTCACTGCAGTGTAGAGAAGGGCAGGGCGGCTGTTTTAGTACGATGTGCTGAAGGATGGTGCACCAGGAGAAACGCGTTTACCAGGTGTGTGGATTTGTGTTTGTAATGTCTGAGAGTGTAGCATATGTAGCATAACATTTATAGGTATACGTGATAGGTATCCATCATGGGGGAGCCGTTTCAGATGAATCAGCCATAATGGATGTTATTGTGAGGTGGCGTGGGTGTGTTCATATGTGATCTTCACCTGTTCTCTCTCTGTGTTTTTACATGTCAGTCCAATTCATAATAATTTCTCATACAATGGATGTGTGTATAATCATATAACATGCTTTGTTCAGTTTTTTATTTACAGTGACCATGACCACATATCTTCTTCAGGGAGGGTAAAATAGGTTGTATGTGAATCTGTGTGTAAGAGTGTGTGTGTGTGTGTGTGTGTGTGTATATATATGTATATATGTGTATATAGACAGTGTTCTGGTAAGAAGGACATCCAGCTGTCTGAAGTGGATGAGCAGGAGGCAGAGCGTTGGTTGGGCGAGGGAAGGCCATCAACTGTGATTTATGCTCTTACATCACAGCCTCATCTAATGATGCGTCACAAAAAGAGGGTGTTTGTGTTTGGGCTGGTTTTGAGGTTATTTAGAGAGAGAGCGTGGAGAAACATGTCTAATTTTGGAAGTGTTATTCAATACACACCCAACAATTCTTAGGACATGTGGACACTTGGCACAATGCCATGATTTATAATATTAGAATATAAAAGCTGTGAGACCTTTATTTCTTTAGATTTGGGTACCGCAAAAAGATGCGGCTCAAAGTAAAAAACAAATAAGATCTAAGGGTAGCTTCAGGGTGAAAGCTGAGATTGAAATGATAAATGATTCAGGGTCGGGTATAAACATTAAATCAGGGCAGAGTACAAACGCAAAAGAACATTTCTGGTATAAAAGAATTAAGTAAGAGAAGAAAAGACGTCAGCAAAGAAAGTTCATGAACTTGCCAAACAGAGAGCAGAATGACACTGCATTTTGAACCATTTCACTATAGATATTGGCTGCTGTCTTGATGATGTACTGTGAATAGACAAGTGAGCAAAGGAAGATCGTTATTAATGACTTACAGCAATTATAGTCCTGTGGTTGCAAGAGATGACCAAATACCATAGGGTTATATTGATTGCTGTAAGAAGAGAAGCGTCACTTACTTCATTGTAGACAGAAAAACATGCATTTAACAATTAATGGACAAATACTTAAAAACAGCATGGATCCATTTTGTTTTCCGTTTTTAGGTCTGGTGTGTGGACCTGGAACGCAAAAAAAAACAAAAAAACACACTGTATGCTTTTCCTGCATGTTGAGACTGGATGTTGTCATGCCATTGTTAATGATCATGAATCATTCATTACTTCATCCTATTTATCATCAATCTATATCCCAGGATACATCAGATGAGCGGCAGCATTCATCCTGGACAGGTTCTCAGCAGGTTTTCAGTCTATAACAAGGCTAACACATAGCCAGACAAATGCACAAACATATTCATAGTTTCCATTTCACCTGATCTGTATGTCTCTGAACTGTGGGAGAAAATCAGACCGCCTCAATCTGCCCGATGTGCCTTTTTAATCGGGTTGCAAATGCAGTCCAGGATTTACTGTAGCACCTATAACAGGAGGTACAGGATATTCTGTTTTCTGTGTGCATGGTGGACTGTACAATCTTGAATGGACTATATAAACTTGATAATTTTGGGTTATTTAGAGAGAGAACAGGAGATTAGAGGATGATTTTTATGTAAGGAGTAATGTCTGTACCTTATGGTAGAGTAGAAGAGAAGGCCAAAGGACAGATTTTTATTAATGTGTTGGCTAAGCTTTGATAGTGTAGTTAACATATTTATAGAATTATAATGACAGTATAATGTGTGAGGCTACAGCTGGATTACATTAACGTGTGAAAGGCAGGGAATTAAATTGCATGACTTTGCTGCATTCTTTCCATCCACCTTTCTCTTCATAATCCATATTTGTCCCTCCTCCTTAGTTCCTCTTTCTTCTGTTTTCCTTTCATCCTTCTCCTCTAAACCAGAATGTGCAGAATGTTCAAAGTCTTTTGGTACATTGCATGTATTTAGCCTTAATTTAACCACCCAGCTTTATATTTCTTCCCACAAGTATACGTCAAGCAGAGATGAAACTACAGCAACAGCAACACTTTTATTAATATTCTTTATACTCATGTATTTTTCTCTTTTCTCTGGCAGGCCCAGAGGAATGAGAGAGAGTCCATCAGGCAGAAACTTGCCTTTGGCAGTTTCTATGACGACGAGCCAGTCATCTACACCAGCTGCAGCAAGAACGGCCCATCTTCCCGGTGGGTTTGGGTCGAGTGTGTGTGTGTGTATGAGTGCGTTACGGTTTGATCAAAGTAGCCTTTCGAAGGCCGGCACCAATATTTTTGTGTTTTAGCTTCCGACAGCTGACACTTTAGATCTTTAGATGTCGTCCCAGAATTTATTCCTGGATGAACAGTGCCCTAGATTCAATTAATTATTGATTCACAGAAAACATCATTATTCTATTATAAACCCTGAACATGAAATTAATTATGTTTTGTAGACTTTATGTCAGCAGCTCATTGGCTTGTTGGCGTCAAGTGTAAATGACAGTAAATGACATTGGGTCCTTTGTGGAAGTGTCAGAGACAGTCATGTGAGTGCAGCATGCACTATCAGGGGTTAGGTAAATACACTGCATTATCCCGTGTCTCTGTGCGTATATTAGATTTGGCATCTAACAGGAAGAGAATGAGTGACTAATCTAAATTACATGCAGATAGAAAATGAAAGGTTTCTCTGTAAGCCACAGAATACTGCTTAAGGTCAGTCCAAGGGAATTGTCATTAGACTACACAATAACTAGTTTACTATCGATAGCAGAACAAAGGAACTAAAGTATGGAAAGAGTAGGCGCAGAGGAGGTTGCACTGTGGTTAACCTCTATTACGCGCTAAATTGCTAAGACAGAAACTGAATCAGACAGACTTTAAAGAAATTCTCACGGTGTGATATAGTTTAGGTATTACATTTCCCTTGTCCCCATTTCCATTTCCTATAGAAACATATTCATATTACATCTCCAAATTATATCTTCATTATGTATTATACCTTTTTATTTCTTTTATACATGATAATTCTGCATTTTGACTTGAATTTGTGTTCATTATTTTTCCATTCTATTAGTGTTACTCACTTGTACAGCATTGTGACTTGCACTAACCTATATAAAAGTTAAATACAAACAAAGTTTAATTAATAGTCATGTCTTAAAGTCTACAGTCCATAAATGTTAAGGACTGAATTTAATATACACAGGTGTGACATCTGAAATCCTCTTTCCATTAAAAACATGATATTTCATGTTTGCAATTGAGGTTTTGAATGCCTACAAGCACATGCACACACACACACAGTGGAAGGAGTTGCATTACATCAGACACAAGATGGTTAACAAAAGCCACTTCAGTTCTTTTCATGATAAATTTGACCTCCAGTAACTTTCTGGCACTTTGACTTTTTCATTTGAGGGCGTGTTATATTCAACAAGGGCTCCCCCCATGTTATTGGCTACTGTTTAAGGAAGTGCTGTTCTGTCGCTGGTCCAAATGTGCATGAAAGAAGAAGTGATGCCTGATATGAGTCTGAGGCTGATTGGCAGAGAGTCATGTAACCTCCAGTGAAGGTAAAGGTGCTCCCTCTTGGGGTGGAAATTCCAACACCACCCTGTCCAGTTCGTGAGATGTTGTGTTAGTTATTGTTCTCATTGTAGTGTCGGACGGGGAGGGGGGGGAAGG